TTTTTTTTTTTTTTTTTCTTTTTGAGACAGTCTTAGCCAGGTGTGGTGGTGCAGGCCTGTAATCCCAGCACTTGGGAGGCTGAGGCAGGAGGATCATTGTGAGTTCGAGGCCAGCCTGGGCTGCAAAGTGAGCTCAAGGCCAGCCTGAACTGCATAGTGAGACCCTGTCTTAAAAAGACAAAAAAGAAAAAAAAGAAAAAAGACAAAAAAAAGAGACAGTCTTGTTAAACTGCTAGGCTGCCCAGGCTGGGTACCCCAGCTCCCTGAGTCCTGGAATTATAGGCAGGTGCCCCGGAGGCCTCGATGGACCGGCTGTGAGAGGCGCTCACACACTGCCAGCTGCGAGCAGATCTGAGGCAGCTGCACACCTGCAACTCAAAGGCGCCAGTGCCAGGTGGCGCTGGCAGACATGACTGGCAGGTGCTCTGGCTTCCAAGGGCTTCTATCACGGATTTCATTTTCCCAGTACTGGGTGTTGAACACAAGGCCTTCATACTGAACTCCATCCCCAGCACTTTTTATTTATTTATTTACTTTTGAGACAGAGTCTTGCTAAATTGTCCAGACTTATCTCAAACTTGCCATCCTCCCGCCTCAGCCTCCCCGGAGTGCTGGGATTAGAGGTGTGCATCACCACGCCCTGCTGAGATCATCCTCCAGACAGACATCTAGGCTGGGACCCCAAGATTTCTTTTTTTCAGAGTATTTCCCTTTTGAGGACTCCCTACTTGTCCAGAGAAGCTGCCTGCCATCTCTCTCTCTTCCCGCTTGTCCCCCACCTTCAAATAAATAATCTTCTTTTAAAAAATTTTTTCTTTTTGCTTTTAATTGGAAGTATAAAATACATCTTTTATTTGGCTTTAATTGTCGAAGTATTTTCCTATGAACTACTGGGATTTTGACCATTTTCCCCACTTGACTCAGCAGCTGGAGAAATGCTCACCACTGACTATAGAAAGCGTTCCCGTGGTAAGTTACTAAAGTGCCCGAGCTGTGCTCAAACTTGTGATCCTCCCGCCTCAGCCTCCTGGACCGCTGGGATGATAGGCGTGTGCCCCCACGCCTTACCTTTATGGGTTTCTCTCTTCCCACAAATGCTCGTGTTACAGCGCAGAAACGAAACAGCGTTGCTAAGTAACTCGGGCAAGGCAAGGCAAACAGCCAGGATTAAACCCGGGCGCTCTTTTTTCCTTGAAGCTTGAATTTTTCAAATTGACAAATAGAAATGCGAGGCGTGGCTCCCGGCAGCGCGGGGCCAGTAGGCAGCCCGGGGTGGGGGTGGGGGCGGAGGGATTCCCCCCAAATCCTGCTCATGTGGCAATCAGGGCCGCCTGAGCCCCTGGGGCTCCTGCCTGCCTGTCCCGCTGCCCGGCCCCGGGGCCACGCGGAGCAGTCTGCGTGTGGCGGGTGTGGCCGGGAAGCGGTCCTCGCGGGCCTCCTGGCGGCCGCGCACGACCTTGCAGTCTGGGGGCGGCGCGACAGGTGTGCACTGCCGAGGTCTGAACGCAGGGGGGCGCATTTGGGTCCCGGAGGGCTGTGCTTTGGGACCCGGTTGCGTCCCTGCCTGCGGCTGTACCCCTCCTTCCGGGAGGGGCAGCGGCAGGTGTCAGGACAGTGACGGGTGGGGCGGCTGCTTGGTTTATTCCCGGCCTCTTATTGATACCGAGTAGAGCAGGGACGGTGAGTCATTCCCTCCCCGCGACGTCGCTTCCTTGTCTCCAGGGCGCAGTTTCACCCAAGCCATGAGAAGTCAGCTCCGGGGATGCGAGGCTGCGCTCAGGGATGCCCACCTCCGTGCTGGGGGCCTGCCTGCCCGGAAGAGCGGGGTACCCCTCCCCATCAGTCTTCCCAGGGACCCCCAGGCCCTGGGTGGGTGGGGGCACTTGGCCTCAGTCACCACCTTGGCCACACCTGGTATGCCTTCTGCGACACCAGGGACGCCACGCCCAGCCAGGGACCCCAGCTAGCCAGCCGGCCAGCCATAGAGGGAAGGGCGGTTCGGGTGCTCATGGCCACTGATCAGCGTTTCCATTTTTTTTCTCTTTAACTTAAAAGTACTGGGGCCGGTTGGGGTGGCTGTAATCCCAGCACTCAGGAGGCTGAGGCAGGACGATCGCCTTGAGTTCGAGACCCGCCTGGGCTACATAGTGAGTTCAAGTCCAGGCTGAACTACATAGTGAGATCCTGTCTCAAAATAAATAAATAAATAAATAAATAAATAAATAAAATAAAATAAAATAAAATAAAATACTGGGAATTGAACCTAGGGCCAGAACACTGAGCTACATCGCCAGCCCTTTGTTTTATTTTTTATTTTAAAACGGGGTCTTAGCCGGGCGTGGTGGCACATGTCTGTAATCCCAGCACTTGGGAAGCTGGGGCTTCCCAAGGAGGATCGTTGCAAGTTCGAGGCCAGCCTGGGCTACAAAGTGAGCTCAAGGCCAGCCTGAGCTGCATATGGAGACCCTGTCTCAAAAAGACAAACAAACAAACAAACAAACAAACAAAAAAGCCGGGATCTTGCTCAGTCACTGAATTGCTCAGGCTGGACTTGAACTTGCCATCCTCCTGCCTCAGGCTTCCAGAGTGTAGCTTTTACTTTTCATGTACAAATGGTAAAAATAATTTACCATTATGTAAATTACCTATGGCTCACCGTTTGGACAGCCCGTGTGGGCCACTTCTGGCAGCGGGTTACAACTCCCGCTCCACACCTCCACCTGCCCTTAGCGTTGGCCTGAGCGCGACTTTCAAAATTTCTATGGAGCGGCAGGCGCTCTCAGAGGCTGCAGTTCCCCCGAGCAAACACAAGAGGGAGCTCCAGCACGAGCCGACGCCGGCCTGGGCCGCCCGCGGGGGGACGGAGACATCACCCAGCGTTTGCCGCGCCACTTCCGGGCCCCTGCGGAGGCGGGGGCGGGGGTTGGCTACGCCCCCACGGCTTCCTTGCTCGGAGTCCTGGGCGGGGTAGGGCCGCTTAGGAATAGAGCTGCTTGCCGCGGGGCTGGACGCAAACGCCCGGAATGTGCACCGCACCCAGCTACCTGCCCAATCCTTTTTATCTTTTGAGACAGGGCCTCTCACTAAATCCCTAAACTGCGCAGGCTGGGATCCAACTTGTGATTCTCCTGCCTCAGCCTCCCCAGTGCACTGATTACAGGGGTGCATTATCGTGCGCGACTGCCTTGGTGGCTTCTTGTGTTGTTGTTGTTTTTGAGACAGGGTCTCACTATTTGGTCAGGCTGACCTTGAACTCACTGTTAGTCTAGGCTGACCTCAAATTCTCAGCCATCGTCCTGCCTCAGCCTCCTGAGTGTTGGGATTACAGGTGTGCACCACCACGCCCTGCCCTTAGTAACTTCTGAGTTTCTCCCCATCCCGAGCAGCCTGGGCTCCGGTGTGGTCCTCGGAGTGAACCTGTGTAGACCTGAGCCGTGGTATAGGGCCATGCTTGGTTGCGGGTAGAGCTGGCTTCACATCCTGACTCCACTTGCTGTGTGACCCGGCTGAGTCACAGGGTCGGGGTATTAACAGAGGTTGTGTGTGGGCGCTGCCTGATCCTGGCATTCACGCAGTGCTATTTACAAGCTGGGAGTGGTGGGGCAAGCTGTAATCCCAGTACTCTGGGAGGCTGAGGCAGGAAGGTGGCCAGTTGAAGCCCAGCCAGGGTAATTTAGTGACTTAGCAAGGCCCTATCTCAAAATAAAAAATAAAAAAGGAGGGGGTAGGATATAACTCCATGGTAGAGCACTTGCCTAGTGTGCTGAGAATGTAGCTCAGCGTGAAGGCCCTGAGTTCAAATTTCAGTGCCATGTACACTCAAAAACTATGATTATTTTTAAAGTGCTTTATTGAGATGTAATGTACAGAGCATACCCGCCCTCCATTTAATGCACACATTGCAATTTTTTTTTTTTTTTTTTTTGAGACAGTGTCTCACTATATAGTCCAGGCTGTCCTTGAACTCATGGTGACCCTCCTGCCTCAGCCTCCTGAGTGCTGGGATCACAGGCATGCACCACCATGCCAGGCTCCCAGTGGCTTTTAGAATATTCAGTTATACAACCAATTTTAGGACATTTTTGCCTCCCTACACCACATATCTCTTGATACTCTTTTTTTTTTGCTGTTACCGGGAATCGAACTCAGGACCTTGCGCTTGCCAGGCAGGCGCTTGTGCCGCTGAGCTACATCCCCGGCCCTACACCACATATCTCTTATCTCTGTGCCACTAAGGTCTTCCTGTTTATGGATTTCCAGTTCCAGACATTTCTCTCTCTCTCTCTTCCTTTCTTTCTTCCTTTTCTTCCTTCCTTCCTTCCTTCCTTCCTTTCTTTCTTTCTTTCTTTCTTTCTTTCTTTCTTTCTTTCTTTCTTTCTTTCTTTCCTTTTTGTCTTTTTGAGACAGGGTCTCATTATGTAGTACAAGCTGACCTTGAGCTCACTTTGTAGCCCAGGCTGGCCTTGAACTCAGACTGATCCTTCTGCCTCAGCGTCCCAAGTGCTGGGATTATAGGTATGTGCCACCACAACCGACTAAATTCTGGACATGTCATGGACATGGGAGTATATATTAGGTAATGTTTTATGTCTGATTTCTTTCTTTTAGCACATTGTTTTCAAGCTTAATCTGAGATGTAGCACTTTGTTCATGGCTGTGTACTATTCCATTTGGACAGTGCACATCCAAGCATCCATGTCTCAACAGATGACTTTCCAGTGGCTTCCCTGCTGTTTGCTGTGCACCTGTGGGCGGTTATTTATGTCACTGGCCTTGGTCTGCAAGATAAGGAGATCCAAGCTCCCAGTGCATCCCAAACAGAGCCGGAGGGTCATTCTGCCCCACGCTCATCAAAGCGGAGCTTGGACCCTGGCATTGGATGGGGCGGGGGGAGCCACTTCCTGACCAGGTTGCAGGGGAGCCAGTTGCTTCCAGGGGGCTTCTGGGGTCCTGGGGCTGGGGACACTGGAGTGAAAGAGCCTCGTGTGTCTGCAACGCAGCTCTTCATGGCCCTGGGGCCCTGAGCAGGGACAGGCTGGCCTGTGGGGTGGGAGAGGGGCAGGCTGAGGATGCCGGACGTAAGGAGTTCGGGGTGGCCCATGGCCTGCCCCTGTCCCTGGGTTCTCGGAGCAGCATCATATGCGAGGATTCAGGTGTCTGTGGCCCCTATTCTTACCTGGTCCCTGTTTCCCTTCCCTGAGACCCCAGGGCCTTTTCACATCTGCTCTTTGCTCAGGTGACTTCCTGCAGCCCACACACGGAGTCATCTCTCTGCTTTTAATTTTGATAAGTTAAAAACCTGCAGTAGAGTGGCCAGGGTAGTCCAGGGAACTTCCACACACCCTCCGCCTGGGCTCAGCAATTGTCTAGTTTGCTTCTCCGGAGGTGTCTGAGAGCTGGATGGTGATGCGTGAGAATGACTGCTCAGAACCTTGGCTCGAGTCCCCTAAGAACAGCAGGCCAGTGCCAGGGCTTCTGCAGGGGAGCAGGGCTCAGGTCCAAGCTCTTTGCTGCCCCAGGAGGAGCCAGGAAGCCTCCCCGGAGGAGGTGGGCTTTTGATCTTTTGTATTTTTATATATTGTTATTATTTGTTTTGTTTTTTGAGAGAGTCTTGCTATGTAGTTCAAGCTGGCCTTAAACTCACTATGTAGCCAGGCTGAACTCCTGCCTCATGTGGCGATCCTCCTGCCTCAGCCTCCTGAGTGCTGGGATTATCGATATGCACCACCACACCTGGCTTGTTCTTTTTAATTTTTTTGTTTGTTTTTTTCCGGTACCGGGAATCAAACTCATGACCTTGCACTTGCCAGGCAGGCACTGTGCTGCTGAGCTACATCCCCAGCCCCCCCCCTTTTTTTTTTTTTTTTTTTAAACATTTTATGGACTGGGGATGTAGCTCAGTGGCACAGCGCCTGCGTGGAAAGCACAAGGACGTGAGTTTGATTTCTGGCACCAATAAAAAAAATTTTAAAAATTTTATGGATTTTAGATATACATAATGGTAATGTTCATCCTGGGAGTTTGTGCCTCTATGTGATGTACTTTGCTTCTTTTTTCCCATTCCCCTGCCCTCCCTTCAATCTCTCTTCCTCCCTTGTTTACAAAAGCT